TATATAATAAATTAATATAAATAAAAAATCATTTTCACTTCTGTAAATAAATATTAAAAATATTTCATCTTAAAAAAAAAACATACTCTATCTCCCCCCATTTTGCGTTCTTTACTTCGATCTTTTCTGTCTCTTCCTCTCATTCTCTCTCACTTTCTTGCTCGCTCCCTCTTTCCTCTCTCAGTTAATCGACCATTAAAATATTTGACGTAATTTTCAGCACAAAGGCAGTTTACAGTTTTATTGCCCATTTCAAATACTAATAGCAATTGCCTGTGGCAGCAACAATATTATTGCCACACTAAACTTCGTCCGCCAGCAACAGCAGCAACAACAATGTAAAAGTGTTATACCAGAGTTCTTTACCAGCTTCAATATTACATGAGCACAAATTGCAATTTAATCCACAGATGTCAGCATTGCGCTCAGTGCCTGACACAGTTCGTAGCCATCCATAGCCCTTTTTTTCTCCGCTTTCGTATTCCTTATCATACAGCTCCGTGAGTGCACGTGGCCAGCGCAACCCCGAGCATCCTCGCAACCTCGAGCTGAGCTGTAAGCGTCCCACACGCGTGTCAAGTTGAAAAATGGTATTAAAGTCACATTGACAATCATCAAAATGTGATTCGCTTGCAAACAACAATGCCAACTGGGGTGGCTCAATCGCTCGGTAGCGGCGCGTTGCGTCGCTTGACTCAAAACACATGTGGCAGGCGCTCAGGCGCTCCCCGGTGACGCTTTAGCGTATAGCCTTGCCTCATCCTACGGCGGCCTCATCATCAAACGCGCTCGGAAAATCTGTCATATAGCCTGGCCAAAGTGCCTCTTGGGAGCTTGTTTATGTCAAGCGCGGGTCATAATTTATATGGCCGCACATATGCAAGCATTTCGGGTGTGTGTGGGCTAGTGGGCGTGTGGGCGTGGCATGGCAGTTAAATTTTAATTGTCGCGCAACTCTGGCTCTTCGCTCGCTGTCAGCCCACAAGTAGCGAACTAAATGAACTAAACTAAGTCTCGAGTTGATCTACCACTCCCAATTAGACAATCCACTTGCCGCCAGCCGAGCTTCACTCGGCGCTCCACTTTACTCGTTTATCTGGCCGACGTCAGCGTCTCAGGCATCCGCTCATCCGCGAAATTGTCGTCAGCGTCAGCGTCAGCGTCGTCGCAGTCCGCGGCAATCCAAATTCAATTAAACAAACACAATAAGTTTCGATAAAGCTGTGCTGATAAGCACAGCAAACTAAATATTCGCATAAAATTTACTACATTCAGAGAGAGAGAGGGAGAGAGAGAGAGAGATAGAGTGAGAGAGAGAGAGAGAATTTGGGTGTGACAAAACATGTATAAGGGGCGGACTGTAGAAAAGTCAATGGTGCAGATTAAATGTTGCTCATGCTACCAACACAAGCACACACACACATACACACACGCACGCACACTTACATTGATATTCACGCACACACATACTCCGAATGAAGTATGCGTAATCTGCAGCAATTCAGGCGCAAAAAAAGGTTCTCGTAAAATACGTAAACAAAGCAGAACAAAATAAAATAATAAGAAGGCAGCAAATTGGAATCCAAAATAAGTCCTATAAAATAAAATTCAAAGTAGTTTACGCAAAAGACCTAAAAACACTCACAGAGAGTGAGGAAAAGAGACAGAGACAGCGAGAGAGGCTCGAGCACAACAACTTAATTGTGTGAGTGTCGCATTTTGATTCTGCAATGAGTTTGAGCCAGAATCAAGTGAAGCATTTGCTGGAGAGTGGGCAACTGTCAGTTGCCTTTGCTAGTTGGTGGTGCAAAATGCTTAGATGGGATTTGCTTTATTATGGCGGGCATTGGAAAGCAATTGTCTTGGATTTGCGTTTTGGGCGTTCGTCATTCCGGATACGGCGAAACTGTAAGGGTAACTCTACGCCGTGGACTGGGCCTAAGTATGCCTTTAAGTGGGCAGGCGTCTCGTTAATTTATCGTTTCACTGATTTGTTTGCGAGTGAGAAGATGTTTTGTGGGCGTCTTACTCGATGTGCGACAATAAATTGTATTTAATGAACTGCTTGAGAGAGTCGGGGATTCCAAAATTTAAAAGAGCTTGTCTAAGAAGAATTTAAGACAATTATATTTTGCAAGCAAATATAAATAAATAAATTGTGAAATATTATACTAAAAAATTAAATATAATATATTATTACAAGTAAATGTAT